GGCCTGAAATATTCAGCCGTAGAAGGTTAAGGGGGGGATGCTTCATTATCCGAGGCACGGGGTTACTCATCCAGGGTCGTGGGGTCTTCGGAGCTATCTGGAGCCCCTCGTGAGGTCCAGAGGTCCCTCGATGTATTTTGATGCCCACACATGATCGAGAAACCAGATCCTCGTTCTCCTCCGCCTGTTTCCCTCTCGTCTGCCTCCTTTCGGTGGGGAGGAAAAGGTACGATAGCAATGGGGTAGGGAATCAGCTCACGTAGCTGGTTTTCTTGCGTCTCCTGGCGCGGGGATGCTCCCCTGTATGAAGGAATGGGCCTTGCGGCAGGGCCGCAACCAGCTGCAAGCGGCTTGCGGCAAATTTCGTAACCCCCCCATTCCCTATCCTACCCTTTCGTCTGGCCCGATCCTCACCTCCCTCTCCTGGAACACGTTGGTGAGCTTCTGCAGCTCCCTCCTGGCGCCAGCTGCCAGGGGGGTCATGCCGGAGAGCCAGAGGGGGCAGGACACCAAACCACCTCGTCAGGCCAGAATTTTGTCCACCATTCTCGGCGTCAGAAGGTCATTTCTTCGGGGGCGTCCAAGAGGGGAACGTCCAAGAGGGGGGGGCGCAAATCATGGCCCGAAGCACGTGCGCTGCCCATGGGTGCGGGGGTGGGGCACGTGTTGAAATAAGAAGAGGGACTATGACATCCGGGGAGATACCATGGCCCTGGCCATGGTATCCAGCGCCCGAGTCGTCACCCCCCTCGAGCGACTCGAGTCTTCGAGTCGTTGAATTTCTCGTGAAAAGTTCACGGGACAAACAAAAAGGAAAGGGGTGGGCAGGGTGGGGACGACGATGTTGGAGGAGCAAGGCGAGAGGATGATCCAACAAGGGGGGGAGGTGGATAGTGCAGCACAAATAACAGGACCACGAGGGGGATGAGCAGCAATAAGAGTGAGCATCTGAAACTAGCAGCCTGATGCAAGGTATGAACGCGATCTTTGGAAGATTCGCTGCACGATGGGATGATAACAATTTCGACATAGCCAAACAACCACCGAATAAGCCCTCATAGACCTCCAACACGCTTTCAGAGATGAGGGGGGAGGAAACGGAGAGGGAAGTGGAAGGAGAACGAGGCTCACACAGGGCGCTGGACTGGCACAGGTCTAAAACTCATCCAACTCCATCCTGCTCGAAGTTTGTGGCGCGAAGGCGATGTTTGCCGCCCACGGCCTCAAAGAGTACCACCACGAAGACTTGGGTACGAATGCGCGCGCGTTTGCTCCAGGAGTTTCGATCCCTCGTGCATGCATACGAGCGGCACAAGGCTTGGGTATGGGAGCGAACGCGGGTACGGGAGTGTAGTTGCATGCGCACGCGTCTGTTGTAGCATGCAGAGATCTGCACGCACAACGTATGAGGAGCACGCGCCCACGTGTGCACATAATCGAATGCGGGAGCACGCAGCATGAGTATGAGACAGTTAGCGTGCAATCAAGAATCTGCTACCGATCATGGCCGTTGGTAGTGACAATGGCAATTCGAACGAGCAGGGATCTGACTGTGAGTAAGGGTACTAGAGCGCGTGCGAATGCATACCGTAGCACGTGCACGACGATGCCGCGACACATTAATCTGAGCATGGCTGGCACTGTGATCCGATGTGTATGTCGCACAGCTGTTTCCTTTGGCCATATTCAAGCACAGTTCAGCATCACCTTGACCATTTGACGAAAGTCTTGAGGACGAATGAGGTTACAAGCGCGAAGTGGCGACCCGAGTACGATCAATTGCCGGAGAGGGTGGGGAAACGCGCGCAGCGGGAACACGGCAGAGGAGGGTGCCTCCCCTCTTCCTTCTCCTCCTCCTCCTCCTCCTCAACCTTCTCGTCGTCCTTCTCCTCCTCCTTGTCCGCCAAGCTTGGGTACTTCGCCCATGTGCAAGAGGGCGGCGAAAAGAAACGGGCCTTGCGCGAGCTCGCGCCGCGACCTTACGCAGTGGCTTACGCAGGCCGCCAATGCGGAACGTGTTGCACTTTACACTGGAAACGAGGCCGGCTACGCTCGACCTTACGCGGGCAGCTTGCGCGAGGATGTCCGCGCGTTCGAACATATCTGTTGTGTGTCGGGAGACTGGCCCTGAGCCCCAGTTACCCGTGGTGCGCGGCATCAGGAGCCAGTGGGGAGGGTGGGGGAGATCCGCGCGCGCCGAAGACCGTCGAGGGGGCCCCCGTGGGTCCTCACCAAAGGTCACTCCAGCGAAGGGTCATCCTTACTGAAGGCCACACAGCAGGGGCTCTTGATCTAGGGGGCGAACAGAAATGCCTCGCTTTTGACCACCCTCACTTCCAAGGGCTACCAAGCGATGCCAAACTACGGCCTGTACTGGTCAGGCCGCTTGACGAGGAGACGCATGGTATGACTTGGTTTTGCCTGGAAACGAAGGCGGGGTAGGTAATTCACGCTCTGATGATCAGCTGGCTCGCCCCGGGATCCGTGAATCCGACACCGCGGCCGTTTGTTCCCATGTTGTTCCCAACGCTGCTCCCAAATGCGCCGTCAGAGCGGACGCTTCGTCGTGGGCCCTGGGTAAGAATCGACCGACGTGCGGCGCACGATATGGCTCCGCGCACCGAGCATGGTGGCCCCTGGAATTCCAGGGGCCACCCTTCTCGATGGAAGCTGCGCAAAGCTTCCACTGCGCAGCACCACTCTCGATGAGAATTCGAGGGGCCACCCTTCCACTGCGCAGCTTCCATTAAAACGGCGCGAAGATCGGGACAAAATCGGATCGGGATAACTCGAAATCTCTGAGAATCGGCGGGTTTGGAGGATGTATTGGGCGCCGCGGCCGCTCCAGAGCGTTCCGGAACGCTCTGAGAGCGATTTATCCCGATCCTAGCCCTGTTTTGTCCATGGAAGCTGCGCAGTGAGAGGGGCGGAGCTGGGTCGCGAGGGCGCTCGCCTCGCGGAGCCCCCTTGGCGCCCGCCCCCTGGCGCGCCCGCGCCCCCGCGAAGCGCCAGCACCTGCAGGCGAGGCGCCCTCGGCCTCCGCCCGGGGGCGCGGGAAGGGCAGCCCGCAGCGCCGAAGCGCAGCCACCGGACGCTCGCCGTCGCTCGGACGTCCATTCCCTGTGCTTTTTGTTCGGTTTCGTGCGTGGTATTTTTCGCCAGATGGTCAAGGATGCTCCTCGAGGGTCCTCGCCGGAGGAAGAAAATGCACACGTCCGAGCGATGCCAAGGACGTGGAACGCCAGATCCGCCGGACCGCTGGTCAGCGCTCACCTCACCGACACGGCACAGCAAGCATCGCAGCAATCATGCCCCAACGTGCAATGAGCCAAAACTTCACGCCGTAGGTTGCGTAACCGAGGGCGAGGTTGCCCAGAGAGGCGGAACCGTGACTGGCCACGGCTGCGAGGACGAAGGTGCCCTCGGCCGTAGGCGAATACATGGCTGCCTACGGTGATCCCAACATCAATCTATTCTCGTCCTGGGTGGTCGAGGCATTGCTGGATACTGTGTCGGCATTGACCGACGGTGCACGGAAGCCAATGCGCACCGTCGGGCTGGGAACTACTTTCCAGGTCGGGAAGGGGGCGGTTCCTTGAGCGGAGAAAACTTCGTTTTGCTTCGGCCAACTTCCGCCCAGCCCTCTGCCGCCCTTCGCCGAGGCCGGGACGCATCGAGACCGCGACCCTTTCTGAAACACCCTGGCTGATTCCCACTCTGGACGCTGCAAGGCCCGGGGTGGCGTAATTGTGGTGGGCGCATCGGCTGGCCGCCCTTCGGGCCCCGGCCTGTTGGGGGCGCTATGAAGCGCATATAGGCCCGTGGCACACTGGTCCATTGGAGGTCGACGCATCCAAAGCGTCCTCCTCATCGTCCAATCCCCTCTGGATGGAGCAGGATGGGGGCGCTATGAAGCTATAGGCCCGTGGCACACTGGTCCATTGGAGGTCGACGCATCCAAAGCGTCCTCCTCATCGTCCAATCCCCTCTGGATGGAGCAAGATGGGGAAAGATGAACAGAAGCCGGGCGAAGGCTGGCAAACCCGTGGCTGCCAAAACGGAGCTCCAGGAAACTGTCTTTTCTTCTGGGAAGCAGCCTGTTTAATACTTAGCGTGCTGAACTTGATTCCGGGCATGTGCTTTTGGAAGGCCGTTTTAGCAGCCACGGATTTGCCAGCCCTCGCCCAGCTTCCGAATGGAGGCGACTCGGGGTCCTGTACCTGTCGTGCTCCTCCTTGCGCATGGCCAACTCGCTGTTGAGGGCCTTCAGCCTCTCGTGCTCGCGGTCTATGCGGTCCTGGCGCCTCTGCTTCTCTTTCTCGAACTCACTGATGAGCCTCCAAACGGGGTGAGCCGATGCGGGGGAAGAGACGGATATCTGGAAATGGCGGCTACGAATAGATATCTCAGTCGTCGCTGGCCAGGGCCGCCCTTGGCCCTGGGATGGGGTCTCTCTCTCTCTCTCTTTCTTTATGTTTTAGTTTCGTTGTTGTTTTTTTGTTTCTCTCTCTCTCTCTCTCTCTCCCTCTCTCCCTCTCTCTCTCTCGTGACAAACACAAATGTATAGATATGCATGCATACATGTGTATATGATGCTATGTATGCTTGTATGTGCTTTTTTGTTTCAGATGTCCATATGTGCGTGTTAGGCGTGTAAGTGTACATGCATTTGTGCATATGTAAACAAGTCTACGCCGCCACCGTGCCTTCAGCACGTTGATGGAATGCTCCGAGGCTCATGCAGCCCTAAGTGGTAAAGATTTGCAAGGCTTCCAAAGCTTGGGCCACCGATTTCACAAGGACTCTCACGGATTTCTGGGGATTCCTGGTGTTTCCCGGGGAGTCCCGGGTATTCCCGGGGTGTGTCGCGTACGTCACCGGGTAGCGGGTAGCGCAGCCGAGAGCCCAAACACGGTCAAAGAGGGCCCCGAAACGCCGCGCGATCGGTTCAAGACGCCCATATATGGTCTCCCGTCGGCCAGAAAAGTGCCGAAACGTGC